AAAAGAATTAAAAAAAGTTTGAGATGAACTGGGTCACTGTTCAAAATTTGAGGCAGATTTTCAAGTAGAAAAAGACTTGATGCCAGTATTTAAGCCTAAACCGAGCATACCATTTGCAGCATTGGAACAAGTCAACGAAGATTTGGACATACTCGAAAGTAGTGGTGTAATAGAAAAAATGAACCCTTCAAAATAGGCTGCATCAGTGGTGTATGTAAAGAAAAAAAAAAAATAAAATTCATGTTTGCATGGATTTCTCAACAGGATTAAACAGTTGCTTAGAAGCACATAACCATCCATTACCAAGTTCAGAGGAAATTTTTTCAAGTTAAATGGCAGGAAACTGGATCTCTCTGAAGCATATTTACAAATTCAGATTGAAAATGAATGTTCAGAATTAGCGACCATAAATACACACAGAGGATTACATAAGTTTAACAGACTTACTTTTGGTTTAAAAGTGGTACCAGCTATTTTTCGACAAGTTATGGATACTATGCTTGTGGATTGCAATTTCACAGTGGCATATCTGGGTGACATTTTAAATCAAAAGTATATTGAAAGAACAACTTGTTGGGCATAGGAAAACAATTTTGGAAAAATTAAGAGTTCAAATTCAAGCCCAGTGAAGAAAATGCAAATTGTTTTGTCAAAAATTAAACATCTTGGTCAAATTATTGATAAAAATAGTTATCAATCAGATCCATCAAGTGCAAGTACAATTAAAAATATGCCTCCACCAACAAATGTGACTACATTACAAACTTTTCTAGGACTAAAAGTAAAAAGTGAAATGGAAATAACATTTTGTGCAACATAGTAAGAGAGATACCAGTTACCCTAGAAGAAATAAAAAAAAAAGCAGAAAATGATGTCTTTATCATGAAAATAAATAAAAAAAGTAATTGAAAGAAAGTAAGAAAGAACAACATTCAGACTTAAACGCTTACTCATCATGCAATGGTGTAGTAATGTTCAGGCAAAGTGCTGTAATACCTAGTGTATTACAAAAGTGAATATTGAAGGATTTTCATAGGGGACATCCTGGTATTTCAAAAATGAAATACCTGATAAGTTTCATATAGTGGACAAGAATGGACCAAGATATTGAAAAAACAGTGAAAGTTTGCAGCAAAACTACCTATCACAAAGATAGAACCTTGACCAAAGACAGGCATGCTGTGGTCAAGAGACTGCATATAGATTTTGGAGGTTCTATGAATGGATAACATTTTCTTGTGGCAGTTGATAGTTTCACTAAATGGCTGGAAATTTATAAGTGCAAAAATCCAACATCTTCAGTGACAGTGAATTTCCTCAAGAACCGTTTGTAAGATATGGCATACCAGATATAGTCTCTGATACAGAATGCAATTCACGGGTAAAGAATTCAAAGACTTTTGTAACATGTTCTCCATTGAGCACATTATGACCTCGCCATATCACTCAAGGTTGAACAGACAAATGGAATGGTTTGTGTGAACATTCAAAAGAGCATTGAAGTAATGCTTGAGAAAGTAAATGTGGAAGCGCTTCTAAATTTTCTGAGAGTTTACCGTATAACACATAACCCCAATACACTATCAGGCATGTTGCCAGCAGAATAAATAATTGCTAGAACAATAAAATCAGTGGTCAACAAGTTATTACCAAGTCAAAAAACAAACAGATAACAAAAATTACACCAAAATTTTCAAGGTCAGCAATAAAGTGTTCTTTAGCAACTATAAGGATGGCAAAGAAACATGGAAAGATGACATAATAGCAACAAGAATTGTTAAGTTGATTTACAGGTTAAAAGGGAAAAGATTTGAACATGAAAAACACCATAATCAGCAAAAAAAGGTTCATCGATGAAAGACCTGAAACATTGGATAAACAAATAAAAATGCTATGTGATGTTTTTGATGAGCCATCACCACAACAAGATGTGGAACCTACAAGAACAAGTACCAGAAAAAAAAAAAAGAAAAAGAAAAAAGGGTACTGAAGAACTGGAAGTGAATCTGAGACGGAAATGCTACAAAGTCAAATACGTTGACAATCTCTCCAGAAAAAGGAGTGGGAGATACTAATAAAAAATAAAATATTTATGAAAAGTATTAATCTCAAAAGGTGGGGAGAATGTTGTGAAGTAAATAGTACACCCCTAGTGATTATATAAATTACTCCATAACTATAAATAAAGAGCTCCAGGTCAGTGATAGAGAAGAAGTCATTTGGAATCAGTCTTCAGACTAATTGTTATGGCAAGTAGCCAAAGCATAACTTATATTATAAGCACTATGAAGCACATTATAACAGTTGTATAAAGTTTTGACATGGAATATTTTAATTTCATGATTCATTCTGACTAGTATCTTTAACATGGTTGTTTTTATCACTTGCCCGAGATAATCTTTAGCCAGATCATATTGTTCAAAATAAGATAAATGAAGATAATTGTCCAAATCATTTAATTTCTATGCTTTCAAGATTAACTATAGCTGGTTAATAGTTATTGCGAATGTTTCTAATTAACCAAATTAAGAAATAACATATGAAGCCTAACACTTTGGCCACAGATATATCCAAAAGAATAAAAAGACTTCAAGAATTTTTAGCATTAAAGTTTTCATGTACTCTCAATTCTAAATATATTTTACTTAACCTATACAGAATCCTAAAATAATAATCATTCATACTTGGATATAATAAAAACAGAATTAATTATGATGTTAATTTGAAAACCCCAAAAACATTGCAGTCATAAAATAGTGTCAAGAGACGAGAGAAAAAGATGAAAATACTACTAAAAAGAAACAAAATATCCAAAGGCAATAATTTATTTACCAGAACATTTCTATGTAATAGATACTTTGGTTTACTCTGTATTTACAAATACAATAATTTGATTTGTGTTAATGCTGTATATCAACAAAAGCATTAATCATTAAAAGTGTTCATGTATTTGTGAATAAGCCAACTTTACAGAAAAACCTGACCATAAAGGATAATGACTAATTTATAGACAGATTTGGAATGACGGTATGACAAAATTTCACTTATATAAGCGCCATCCTAACCAGAAAAATTGGTCAAGGTGGTTACTTTCTGTTGTGATTGTACCAAGGAGGCAAACCCAATATGTGGTACCATTGGAAAGTGTCTAAAACCCATACAATGAGTTGACCCAAGCCTTGTGAGAAAAATCAGATAAATGGAACTATTCAGAAACTGTTGATAGTTGTGCTTGCATATAAATCACAAAGTGTTTGGGCATACTGGCCTTGGTCCCAAAAATTTATCATGTCAGCTTCTTTCTATACAATCTCTTACAGAAACTGTAGCTAAGGCTTGTTCAGTATAGTTACAGTATAAACAGCAGAGAAGGTATTTGTAATAGTATTTGGCTAGCCACTCTGACCAGCAGCTGATCATTATATATATTTTCTTTCTCCATTTTCTTTGTTATCTACCATCAACTAAAAATGCTTTTTTTTATCATCATTTTGTTATAAATGCTGTGCCTTCCAGTCTTATCACATTTGGTAATCTTTACGAAATGTTGAATGGAACTACTTAATTTATAGGAATAATTTTCAAGTAACAATATAATCAAATCATCTTTAATGAGAATACAAATCTAACCTGTTGAGTCAGACAGGACCTATTAAAAAAAAAAAAAAAAAAAAAAGCTATAATAGATTAAATTATACTCTGAGCCTTTCAACTAGATGAATGGATTTAGAGAAGGAAAAATACTCAGAAAATGAAAGACATCTAAGCTTATCCTTAAATACTTCCAAATGTTCACATGCCATGGAGATTAGTTTGGATAATAGATATTACAATGAAGAGGCTAATAAGTTAATGGGATTAAATTTCAGCAAACACAGAAATACATACACACTAAATAACAAAAGAGAAGTTAATCTGAAATCTATAATTACAAAATAATGCTTTACAATTTTGGTAAAACCAAAGTGAAAAAAAAATTCAACTCTACCAGAGAGAGAGTGAAGGAGAGAGAATACACGTGTAGTTATCAAAATTAGAGTTACAGTGATCTTCTCAGATATACAAAGTTATTATGACACAAGTACATATACAATTTTCAACATAGTCCTAAAGCATTCATTTGTTTGTTTTGTCAGATTGTATTTTGGGGATACATGATTTAGTTTGGAATTGTAGGCAATGTTCTATAAATGGTATCTTCAGCTTTTTTTTCTAGCTGTAAAAAAAAAATTTTTTTTTTTGATAAGTTACCAATATTCTTTTATTCTTCATTTTACAAAAAAATAATTGTTTACCTCACATTCTAATTTTAATGAACTTTAATTTTTCTTTATCAAATTTGATCTTAATAAACCATCTAAAGCTTTTGTTCCTCAATGTTTAAGTTATTAACACTCAAATTTATACCTAAAAACGTAACTGTATCTCAGTTTAATTTGAATGACCACTCTCGATTAGGTAAGACTACTGAATTGTTTATTTCTAGGGTTGATCATTGGTCAGTGAAACGGGATAAAGAGAGACCACAAGATTAAATAAAATTAAACTTTATTCTTATAAATAATGTATCAAAAAAATTAAGATATTCTACAGCTTTTGTATTTTGACATCCATTTCCAGTAGTGAAATATTGTGAAAATAGTTTGCTAAATAAAAGATATCACAGGACCATAGCAACAGTTTTTGAAGAGCATCATATAATATTGAGTTTGACAAATACATTGAAACACATTGTTGAAGTTGTAGAAGCAAAGAACTTCTTTTTAAATGTCTACATTAGTCTCTTTCAAAAAGTCATTTTCTTTTCACTACTACTAATCAAAAGAAATCTTGAAGTAATGAAGTACCAGAGAATGGGGATCATACTCAAGCAGGCAGACTCTTCCTACTTGGAAGATAGAGTAATGGATCTTATTACCAGTACATTGTCAGCCATGGAGATTGACTCGGCAATTTTTACTCGTATGTACATACATCTTTACTTTACATAACTCCGAGCTTATGACCACATCACATTGAACCACCAGTTTCCATATGATGACTGAAGTTAAGCAACATTGGGCCTGGTCAATACCTAGATGGGTGACTGCTTGGGAATACAAGGTGCTATAATCTTGGATATGCAGATGATGTAATGGATAATTATTTGGCATTGTTAATTGGAGACTAGAGTTCCAATTCCCATTGAGTTATATTCAGTTATGTGCAAATACCTTTGAGAACGGTATGAATCCACCTCTTCTCCTCCTAGCTATGGGTTAACTAATAAAAGTTTTATCACTAAAAAATATTATCTCAAAAACTTTTTGTTTACAATCTAGAAATATTTTCTGAATTTAAGTAACCTGTAATGGATTGATAAGATATAGAAAACAACTATCATTTTATCCCCCATGGTGGAAGAAGCTAAATAATGGATCCGAGTGTAGTGTCTGTATGCTCTGTGAAGACAGTTACACAAAATGTTGTTTATAAAATCTGAAGTCAGACATGGGCAACAGTTTTTTTTTTTTGTTTTTTTTTAGCAGTAGACCGCATGATCCATGACTCATCACAAAGAGAGCAGCACTACTAAAAAGATTCAAGGTAATTTATGTAGTAGGTAACCTCAGCTATTTTCACTACAGAAGATCATGTGTGTAAGCATATGCCTTAGAAATGGGGGGGGAAAGTCGATTTCTTTTTCTTTAGAGAAAAGTTTTTTTCTATGATTAAAAAAAAAGTTTTGGTATAATGTTAACACTGATGACAGTGTGATGTCACTGCATCTGATTTATTTCTAATTTATTCATTTTCTTCTTTAGAAAAAAAATTATGTTAAAAAAAAAAATAAAAAATAAAGGATGTTTACATGTATGAACTTCCTTAGTGAAAATCACCAATAGATTAAAATGATGAAAACGTTAATTTTCATTGAATGTTTATAAAATTCAAGAAACATTGTACTTAATCATTTTTTATATATGTGGTTATGTATGAGAGTGTATGAGTGAATAAATGAGAATGAAACAAAATTTTAAGAAATGTTAATTTTCCTTATCAAATTAAGCAGGCCATTCAGAATGTCTAAACTGGACACATGTCTGTCTTAAGCATTCAATTTAAAAAAACAAGATTGTTAAGGAAAGTAATTATCAACATTTATCTTAGCATTGGCTTACTTGCTTCCAAGGCTGAACATAAGTTGGACTGATCAATGACCTGGCATATTTCTAACATCTATAGTTGCACTGTGCAGCCTGGTATTGCAAATTTTCTTCCAGACAAGCAGGAAGTCATGTAAATACTACTTTTCAAGTTTGTGTGTTCATGCAGACCATCTTCAATTAGATCTTCAATTATAAGTATTTGGTTTATTCATTCTGGAACTTTTTCCACATATTAGATTAATCAGTGCAGATACAAATCAATTATCAGGATATGTGGCTCATATTATTTTAATAATATTGAAGATATAGCAACTAAGATTTTATAAAAAATTAATTGCAAGGGTTGTTTTGAAAGTAACACCTCATTTTATTTTATTATGTAGGCCTACAGAATCCGAAGCAACTGTTGGAAGTATGGCAGTTGAGGTTGAACCTTCCTGCCAATTTTTTTTTTTTTTACCTTGTTACAAATAGCAGCAAATCATTCTGGCAAAATGGTGTTTGACATGAAAGTTCATACAAAGCAAAGCAATGTCTTCAAATTCTTCCATGTATTTATTGACATTCATCAGAACTTGCCAAACGTTTATATAGACACCAATAGTTAGATGTGAGCACAGTTTGGCAGTGCTTAATGTGTTTCAGCACTGATGACAGCAACATATGTGCAACAAGCCAAATACTAGGCAACTCACCACTGACATCAACCCACAAAGTGAAGAGCACCACAATCAGGCCATCTGTATGATCTAGGGGATTATGACAAAGGAACTGAATATAGAGCTGAAAGGTTGCTTCAATGTTTTGGAAATGTTGATAAGATCAGTGTATCAAAAGTTTGTGCAAGGTAGGTTCCATGGGTACTTATATGAAAGACCAAATACAAGTTTGCAAGGAAATAGTTTCCTGAATGGTGGCATTATCACCACGTACTGAAATCGAAATAACAATCCATAGAGTGGCTATATGTAAATTCCCCATCAAAGAAAAAGTGATATGCAGTATGTTTTTGGATAAGAAAAGCATTATCCTTCTGGATTTCCTGGGGCCTGGACAAGCCATCAACTAGCAATTACATTATGACACTAAACTGAAGACCCAAATACCTAGATTCAGACTAGAGAAGAAGACAACCTTTCTCTTACAATATGACACCTTGCACCACAATAGTTTGAAGACTATAGATCATGTGGCAAATCATGTCAGGACTGTGTTACTACACAAATCATATCATCAAAATTGGACACCTAATTTTCATGTTTGTTACCTTGAACTAAACATTTTCTTGATGATATTGCTGATGTGAAAATGTGAGTGACCTCCCCTAATGCAAAGATGTACAAGTGTAACATAAAAGCTTTTGTTCCTTGCTGGTGAAAAATGCATAGTCAATAGTAGTGACGATGTGGAGGGGATGTTTTGTAGCTAAAAATCTGGCTAGATCCAAAGATTTTATTTTGTTTCCATATCTGTTGGAGTTTCTATAGAAATAAGTAGAGCAGTAGGAGTCCCAGCATATCCCTCATACTTATTATCCCATAAAAATTGATTATAAGTGTCAACAAAGAGCAGATTGTCCTTGTCATCTCTTCCTATGATCTGTTATGGGTACAATGTACCAATAATAGAATTATGTAGGTGTGAGAACATTAAACAGTTAATTTTAAAAAACATGCTTTTCTCAAAGACATTTATACCAAATCAACAATGAAACATTTTTTTAATATATATTTATTTTTTAATTATTTTTTTTTTTTTTTTTTTATTTTTTAATCCAACATTTTTATTAAACATTATTTTTAGTGGATACCCATATTTGAATATGCAGACCAATGAACGAAATAAATACTGTTTAAAATAATACAGAACATCTAAGCAAATACAAGTATTCATTAGAAATAACATTTGTGTGTGTATATACACACACACACATACATACATACATATATTACACACAGAGAGCAAAAAGTTTGGTGCTACTCTGCATTTCTTTAAAAACACCTTAAAATGAGCTATTTTTTTTTTAAGATAAAATTTCAGTAACTATAGTATATTTGCTTTTATTTTTCAGTCTTTCTCCAGGCTCTTCTTACAATGAAAAAGTTCAAATTTGGATTTGTCTGTCTACAATACATTTCACTAAATTAAGAATAATTTGTAGGAGAAACATTTTGTTTTAACCATTAACCCCTCAGCAGACTTTTTAAGATTACCAAAATTTTTTAAGCAAAATGTTAACTTTGCACCATCTAATGTTTTAGTTGTCTCATTATGACAGTGTTTTTATAGTTTTTATGTTTTTAATTTTGTAATTTGCGCAAAATGGCAAAATCAAGGCAGCTAAGCATTGAACTGAGAGCACCAATTGAAATTTTATTCTCAAAAGACACATTGCCAAGAAGTTGAAATTTCTAGATATGGGGTGCAATATTTATTACAAAGGCAGCCAGAAACTGGCACAAATATTGACAGAAAAAGAGCTGAAGTCCCAAAAGAGAGAACTGCTGCTGAAAATAAACACTTTATGATTGAGACCAAAAGAAATAGAAGGAAAACTTGTTTGGTTTGGTTTACAGCATATCAACCTCAATGGGTCATTTAATGCCAACATTTTTTTTCTGGTGATATTTTTGTTTTGCCAAAAATCTATTTCTGGTAATATTTTTTTCATCAAAATTGTATAGCTGGTAATATTTTTTTTTCAAAAATGTATTGCTGCTGGCAATATTTTTTTTCAAAAACATATTGCTGGTAATAGTTTTTTTGGTTTTTTTTTCAAAAATTTATTTCTGGTAATAATTTTTTTTTTTTTTTTTCAAAGTATTTCTGGTATTAAAACCCATTTTTACACTTTCAAAATGCTTTTTACCTCAGTTTCGAGGGTTAACTATTTGCCCATAGCTGGGACCCTAACAGGTGCTACCACCCCGAGTCAGGGTAGACCTGGGAACACTAGCAATTAAGAGGTGATTCCATGCTCCTCAAAACCTCCTGATCAGAGGCCTTGCTGTTGGACGTAGTTTATTGTCTTACCCAGGATGCGGATGTAGTTTATAGTTATACCCAGGACAAAAACAGCTCTAGGGTTGACAACTGAACTTAAATCCTCTTGATAGCAACCAGTGTTGCTCTCAACTGTGAAAAATCAACTTAGATCCGTGGGACTTGGGGAGTGCAGAGCCATCAAGAAACCCCATTTATGGAAGGTGAATAAGCAGAAAAGACTGTTATGGGTAAAAAAAGCATAAGAACTGGGGACATTGGAAGAGTGATAAAATCTACTGTGGACACCCATGTCCAAATTTGAACAGTTTGGTAGTAAGAGAAGAGTGTATGTGAGAAGAAAACCAGGAAAAAGATTGAATGTATGGTTCCAACAGTGAAGCATGGTGGTGAGTCTGCTTTGGTGTGGGGTGTTTTGGGGAGGAAAGCACTGAAGATTTGATTCAAGTCAAAGAAATCATGAAAAAAGAATATTATTTGATTTTCGCAAAAGACATGCTGTACCATTTGGCTTACACATAACTGAAAAAAAAAAAAAAGAAAAAAAAAAAAAAAAAAAAAGAAAAAGAAATCACCTGACAACAACCCAAAACACTCTTCTAAATTATATCAAAATCACATTGAGTCCAAAAAAAAAAAAAAAAAAAAAAAAAAAAATTTGCCTGCCTCAAACTCCTGACCTCTCCCATTGAATTAACATGGAATGAATTGGATAGGAAAGTTTGAAAAGAATACCTAAAGAGTGAGAGTAAGCTTTTTCACTGCTTGGAAAGGTCTGCTATCTATATTTTTTTTCAAAAACTTTGAAAAAATGGCAATAGTTTGTAATGATTTAGGTAGGTGGTCATTTAATTGATGAAAACAAAATATAATGCTGTTGTATAATTTTTTTGATAGTCAAAGTGCTTATTTTTTGTCAGAATAAAAGCAAATACACTGTAATTACTGAAATTTTATC